GGGAGTACATAAAACCAACAAGAAGGGTTACAAGGTGTGCTTTATGTACACAGACCCACAAATTGTACTGCAAGAAATCAATATCTACTCTCTTATTTAATTTTTTTTTTTCTTTTAATGAAACAAGAAAAATCTGCAAGATTTGCAGAGATTGAGTGTTGGGAGTGAAAGAGTATCACTTTCTTGGACAAAAGCTGTAGCTAAAAAAGCTGATAAAAAAAGAGAAGAAGGGAAAAAATAGAGAGAGATGAAAATTGAAGACTGTATTTTTTATTTTTTTTTCATCAATCTCCATTTATCAAGAGAAACCCATTACAAGTCACATGGTGGAGATTAAATCAGAAACCACAAGATCAAGAAATGAAAAAAAGAAAGGGGGAAAAATGGGATCTTGAATCATGAGTTAGTTGAAATATTAGACTTGTTTGTTTTTTAAATAAATTTATTTTGTAATGAAGAAATGAATCATACACTTTCATGACATAAAATTTAGGCAAAATTGCAATTTTAATTCTATTGGTTTGATTCAGTGACGTTTTTAGTCATAAGAATTGAACATTTTTGCTATTTGGTCCTATGATTTTAAAATTCGATGCAATTTCAGTCATTTAGGACTGAAAATACAACAAAATTTAAAATTAAAGTACTGTAGTTTTAATTTTTTATGCATTTTCAGTCCCGGAAGATTGAAAATGCAGCAAAATACTAAATTACAGGATCAAAAGACAAAAAATTAAAACCTTCAGACTAAAATACTACAATATTAAATCAGCATAACTAAAAATGTAATTTTGCCTAAAATTTATTAACACTTTTTTTAAGCATCACATCACTTTTTGAAATCAAGAACAAATAAACAATTATATGTCAGAATAGTTTTATTGGAGAAAAATTAGCCTAACCCCATTTAGATCAAAAAATTATTTTAATAAGTTTTTCAATTAATTTCCAATATTTGTCCACTCGTGCTGCAATTTGAGTGTTACTTTTTGTCAAAGGGCTGCAAATTAATCAACTCACTTTAATTAATGGAACATTCTCTGCCTCATGATCTGATTTTAGCATATATTTTTGTAATGGACTCTACCAAACCTAAACTTTATTTCATTATTAGCCAATATTTTCAACAATCAATAATGCTCAAATCACTTGTGACAAAGAAAACTTTGGTGAGTTTTATGGTGGGCCCCCCATTTTGTTGACCCAATGTGCAATATTCAAATATGTGCATTTATTTTAATTTCTAGCAAATACAAAAGACATTTAATTGTGTGATCATATATTTGGGAAATGTTATTGTTTCGTTACGAAATCATTCTATTGAAGTTTGTAACAGTTAGATCAACTATTTTCGACGGTTACATGATGATCTAACGATTACAAACTCCGACGGAATGATTCCGTAACTAGACATGGCGAAGGGTCGCCCGGCCCGCAAACCCGGACAGCACCCGGACCGGTCAAACCCATTGACCACAGGTTCGGGCCCGGAACGAATTTCCGAAGGGTCGTATCAGGGTCATCCATTTCATGACCCGGCCCGGCGAGTCCGGGCCGGGCCAGGTCGATGACCCGCTTTAATATTTTATTTTATATTTTTTCTATTTTTTTTTTAAAAAATGACGAAACCGGCCCAAACACGACCCGGCCCGGACCCGGGCAATTGACCCAGCACGAGTATAGTTCTGTGCCGGGTCCGGGTCATTGTTTTCGAGCCCGGTGACCCGGCGATCTGGCCCTGGTTTTGGCCATGTTTATCCGTAACGAGACTTTAACATCTCCCCATATATTTTTATTGTGTGATGATGTTAGTAATCGGCTTGCATTAAATTATGGACTAATTTTGTACTCAAACGAGAATTATATAGATGTTTTTTTTTTCGGTACAAAAACGGGCTAAGCGCTAATCGCCTAGGTAGAGGAAGAGACTAGGACTCTTCGAGGGAGGGATACCCCCATGATATCGTGGTTTAACCAAGTGCCCAACCCATCGGGAGGAGACCCTACACGGTGAAAGCCAATCGGATAGGACCCGGCCGTGCTCGCCATATAGTCGACCGCGCAATTAGCCTCTCTATGCACATGAACGATCCTGACACTCCAGTCTAGATGGACTAGCCTCCGAATGGCCCGGACTAACGCATCATGAGCTCCAAGACTCTCATTGGACCCGAGGACCAATTGTGTCACACATAAACTGTCAACCTCAGCGATCACTCGGCGAAAGCCCAAGTCCCAAGCCAATTGTAGACCCTGAAAGAGACCCCAAAGTTCGGCACTCGTGATGGTTGTGAACCTAATGTGCATTAGGAAGCCCTCAATCTAACCTCCCGTCTCATTGCGAAGTAAACCACCCGCCGTGCATATGCCTGTGTTCAGGTTCAGCGCCCCATCCGAGTTAGACATGGCCACGGGTCAACCGGCCCGCCGACCCGGGCCGGTCAAACCCGTTGACCACGGGTCCGGACCCGGCTCAAATTTCATCCGGGCCAATCCCGGGTCCGGCAGGCCGGGCCGGGTCAGGGTCGACACGAAAAAAAGTATGGTTTTTTAAATTTTCTTTTTTTTTTTTTTATTTTTTTATTGGGACGGGTCCAGACCCGGGCCCGACCCGGCCCGCCGGGTCATGGACCCGGCACGGACCTAAGCCGTGCCGGTTCAGGGTCCACCACACCCAACCCTGCGACCCAGTCCCGGATTTTGGCCATGTCTAATCCGAGTTGACCTTAACCCACCCTGGATCCGATGGATCCCAACTAATCAATCTCGTCTCATACACAGCCATCCCAACTCGCTGAGAAGCAGCGACCGCTGCCATATATGTATCCGCCCGACTTAAGACCTCCGAGCAAATAGCGACCGTGCTCGCATGACGGTCGTTGAAAATGCGATCATTCCGCTTCCTCCACAAACACCATACATCGATCGGAAAAATACATTCCCAGTTGCTTCAGGGTCCACGGAGACGCGTCTTCAAGTTGGTCCGCAGCCATAGGCTAACCGGCTGCCGTAAGAACTCGGTCGGCATTCCAGCATGTAGTAAATTGGCCCAAAAATCCTTTGCGAGCAAACAGTCCCGTAAAACGTGTATTATTGACTCAAGCTCACCACAATAATCGCAGGCATTCGAGGATGCTATGTGTCTTCGAACCCGTTGATGCAGTGGTCTTCTGTGCGCCATTCTATGAGCGAGGTCAGAGGTTCAAGCCTTGATGCCCCCAGAATTATATAGATGTTAATTTAATGAAGTTGTTCGCAAATACAATTTCATTCGACTCTGGAAAGCTTGAGTTTGACTCGTTCCTTTACTTCAATGTTGAATAGCTAATTGAACTTATTTATTTAGTGAGTCAATCCGAGCTTGGTCGCGAAAAAACTCGCTTTCTATGAGTTTTATTAAATACAACAGTTGATCTGAACTTGTTCCTGTATAGCTCGTTCAAGGTTTTGGATTTATTAAACTAGTAAAGTCAAGTTTTCACGATCTTAGACATGCTAAGAATTTCATTTATTTATTGAACGAGCCAATTTAGCTCGTCTATTACATTCACTGTTCTAAATATTGACCTAGGCGCTAGGCGGTGCTCGGGCACCTCCGATTTGCACAAATCGGCAGAAAAAATCGATCAGGCGGCTAGGCGGCGCCTAGGCGCTCCTAGGCGCTTTGGCGGGCGTGGCGGCCAGACGGTTAGGCGGCGCCTAGGCGGACATAGGCGGACCTAGGCGCTTCTAAGCGGGCTCGGCGGCAATTTTTCAGTTTTTTTTTTATTTTTTTAAATTTTTTAAATATTAATTACATTAATTTATTCTCATGTTTTCTTTAAAATATATTAATTTATTATTTGAAATCAGGTGTGTCGATTTATTATAAGTTGTGATAATTTTATTTTGCAGGTAGTCAAAATAAAAAACAAAATAAGGTATTTGATATTGATTTCTAGGCCCCGACTAGGCGCCGCCTAGGCCCTGCCTAGGCGCTCTAGGCTTTGATCGAACGCCTAGCGACTTTTAGAACACTGATTACATTACACGAGCTATGATATGAGATGCTCAACTTGATAAGCTCGAATAACAACCCTAGATGTGAATTGATCGATTTTTTCTATTATTTCATGATTATCGGAAAAAAAAAACAAATTAATAACAATAATACTATGTGATTGTGTAAAATGAACCAAAATTTCAATTTTTTTTTTTTTTTTTAAAAAAAAAGTTTTATGCATGGGTCTACACCAACATCAACGTTGTGGGATAAAAAAAAAAATAATAATAATAAAATGTGTTATTTGTAACAATCTTGGTGTTATTGCATAAAGCATTGAAATAAAAATTAAATAAATAAAATTTTTCAATTGGCAATAAAATAAAAATTGTGGTAATTGAAACCATACAAGCATTGATTTCTAGTTAATGGAATGTGCCCCACTATTAATTTTTTGCAATGTGATGTTGGACTTTAGGCACCAAATTTGTACTTCAATTTTATAGTATATCGTCACAAAATAATGGTGGTAGTATGGTGTATTTAAAGCATGTCACATTGACTGAAATTATACCTAATGCTAGATGTAACTAATTTTGAATATATATAATCATACAAATAATAAGCGCATATATGAATATAACACGTTCTGTATTAAAATTAGAACGATAATCCTATTTCAAGCATGAGAAAGCTCGTATTCTCACAACTACGCAAAACCGAAACCCTAAATTTTTCAATTCATATTTCATTTATATCCATAATAACAAGATGATGGACCCTTTTTAAAAATAAATGATTCCAAAACAAAACTTAATATCTATTGAGTTTTATAAGTTAAGGGAGATGCTTCAGTCCTGTTACAGAATTATTCTGTCGGGGTTTGTAATCTTTAGATCAACTATCCTCGACGGTTACATGATGATCTAACTGTTAAAAACCCCGACAGAATGGTTCCATAACGAGATCGTAGCATTTCCCATAATTTAAATATAACTTAGCATGACCAAACAATACAATGTAACTATTAAATAAGCTATGACTTGGATCATATATCAACATATCAAATTACATTGTGTAAATATATGTGTAGATACTATATGTACCTAAAATTATGGACCATTACACCTACAATACACAATTCCATATATCTTCTTGTCGGTGAAGGTTTCAATTGCAAAATATATATTCTAAGAATTGAATTTTGCCAATTTTTGGTCATATTTTAGATGGCCCATTGACTTGTCGGTGGACGTTTTGACCGGGTAAATTCTATTATAGGACCTCATTTTTAGGTATTGTGTCATAATAAGGCTTGAATTTTTAACTTTTTTATTTGAGGGCTTGAATTTTAAGTTATTCTCCATAAAAGGCTTACTTTTACATTCTAATTCTCAATTTAAGACTCCAACAAACTTTATATTTTTACATAAATATATAATCCAAATACTATTATTCAAAATATTTATATTTTAAATAATTATAAATGTATTTAGTAAAATCACTTT